AATATTAACGTTGCTGATATCATTGGGGATACCGGGTAACGAATCAAAACAAACACAAGCTAACAACAACAAACATTATTAAAAAGGGCTAACTCAAGATTTTAGCCAAAAAAATTGCCTAAGTCTTGAAATTTTCCTAATTGGATGTCCAAGCCTTTGTACCATCTGCGAAAAAAATCTTCAGGCTTATGTATTACATCTCTTTGGATAAAATATTGAGTTAGCCGATTTTTAAAAATCGGCTCAAAATGAGCCGTTTAACATTAGTAAATGCCACCAAAAAATACTTTAATAATACTAGTTTTTTTCTTAAAAATTACACAAATTTACAAATTTTAAGCAAAATTTTATTAAAATTTAGTTATATCTATTATTTAAAAAAAAAAAATTTGTGAATGATGAAAAAAAAAAGATTGACTATTTTATTTTTACATTAAAAATAATGATATTTTCCAAAATTTATATTTGTGATATTTAGGACTCAGCCTAAGTTTATGATAATAACATTATATATATATAGCATTGCATTTCATAATCAGGAATCTTTTCTTAAAATTATTGCCATTAATCCATTAATGGTCAAGATTTTTCTAGTGGATAAAAATGCTCAATTTTTTCAAATTATATTGATTAATGCTCAAATATGATATTCTAAAAAAATCAGCCAAAAAAAATAATCCTAAATAGAAAATCTAGCCTGGTGCATATATGAACCGTTAACCATTAAGAGGTTAACTAAAACCTATCTAAAATCTACCCAACCAAATCCTAGAAACTTAATCAAACTTTCTAAAAAACGAATCGTCAAGAATTATATGAAATTATCAAATCCAAAGACAAATAAAACTACAATATAAATCCTAAAATTTTATTCAAAAGAAAATTTCATTTCTCAAAAAAAATAAATTTATATATAAAAAAAATTAATTTTTTTAACAATGATCAAAATCCGTAATTTTTTATAAAAAAAAAAAATTAATTAAAAATATAATAATAATCCACATATAATATATTACATCTAATCTTTCTATCCAATCAACCTTATTTTAATTGGTTGATTGGCATTTCGCGTAAAAAAAAAAATATAAAACGTTCACGTATTTACAAATACGACATGCCACCCCTTTATGGGCTTATGGCATGTCGGCATATATATATTTCTGTTAAAAAAATAATCGATATATAACGGTGTTGCATGATCAATCAAATTGCTATAACAAATTTATAAAATTTTATAAAGTCCTTCAATTTTATATAATTAATTCAATAATATCATGATTACCTTGAATATTTCAAAAAAATAGCTAATTTCAATGTGAATGATCCATTGTGATAGTGGATATAACTATGAGAAACACCAATCCGAAAGGAACAATGGATATTTCCTAAAGTGTTCAATTTCAGAATAGTCATTAATATTATTTTACACATTAACATTAAGTTGTTTTGCCGGTGATAATAAAATCCTTGTCAAATCATCTGCTACGTTTCCTGCTTCCTTTTTTTCTTTTGCGATATCCATTCATAATAAAGAATGTTCATTGACTAATCATTGATGGAACTGTGATATTCCTTCGTGTACTGCTCAAATCAACGACGTAAATTTTAAATAGATGTGAGGGTTATAAAAAAAATACAGAAGACTTGACATCTTCGATCATTTTTCAAGCTGATAAAATATTTAAATCTTTAGTTTGAAGTAATAATGGGAGAGGTACTCCATTATTTTAATAAATTTCTAAATAAAGGAAATCAGAACTGATTTGATTATTTAAATTCGCACCACACTTATAGAGATAGGAAGAAAACTCTCTTCACCACAGGCGATAACCAATGGGGAGAAGAAGATATCCTCCCCCAGCCCGTCGTAAATTATTTTGCCCCCCCCCACCGGCCTTCTTCACAAAGAATATATACAGAAAAATTAGTAAAACAACTTTTAAAAATAACGATTATAATTCAAAATTTTTAGAAAACAACGCATTTTAATAAAGAGAGATATTATATAGAAATATATTTAAAAAAATATGGTATCAAGGTTGCTATCTCTGGGATTTAGATACAGTTTTAAAAGGGTAACATTACGTTGAGTTAGAGAATAAAATACTAAGATACGTAAACGGCTAACTCAATATTTTACCCAGAAAAACATTAGGCAAGCCTGAAGATGTTGGTCATAGATGTCACAAAGGTTTGGAAATCTAATTAGAGCAAAATCTCAAGACTTGTGCAAAATTTTTCTGGCTAAAATATTGAGGTAGCCAACACTAGTAATCCTTAAATATTATATACTTACATAGATATAAAATATTTAATATCTTTTGATTTATTTATTTTTAGTGTGATTTTTTGAAATTTTGCCATTATTTTTAAGTTTTTATCAAAGGGTTTAATATTTTAATATAGTTTAACCCAAATTGTAATATTATAATATTATATTTTATATATATAATTAAATTTTATTTTATTCACTTAAAAAACTATTAATTTTTAAAAATCGCTAATAAATTGTGTTAAAAAATATTTGGTATTTAATACGTAATAGGAATTAAAACGGAAAAAACCTCCAAGGAAAAAAACCCCGGGAAAATAAATCCTCAGGGGAAAAAACCCCCAGATTTTTTTTTTCATAATTTCCGGGATTTATTTAATTATATTAAATTAAATATATCGTGGATAGATATAGTTAATTTTTGTCAAAAAAAATAATAAATGGTTGAGATAATAAATCTTATAAAGTATTCGATTTTCACATAGAAGCAAAAGTATTTGGATCAAAGAAATATAGGCAATACTCAATAATAGATTCCCAATTTTCAAAGTATCTTAGCTAGAGTTCTACGAGGCATATCCCGGCGTTCCTAAACACTTTCTTTCTTTTCCAAATTAAGTATTAGTCTGACCTAAAAGTAATTATAATTTATTTAAATTTATATTACCAATTTCTATCTTTTTTTTCTGATTAAATTTCACAATTAAAAATTGAATTTTTTTTGTCCCCTGCTAATAAATGTAAATTGTGTTTAAAAAAAATTTATATCTTTAAGCCTTTGTCTTGCTAGAATTATAAATAACGCATACAAATTTTAGCGAATTTTATAAGGCGCATCAATAAAAAAAGTATTATTTTTACAGAATGTGTGTATTCTTTATTGCCTGCGAAGACTAAGGCTAAGAAATGAAATTTATATTTAATACTATTCCCTTCCATATATTTCATAAAGTTGACCTGGCCGCCACAGGCCCAAAAATTTGAAGACTTTAATCCTGTATTGGCAAAAAAAAATATTCCAATCCTGTAATTGTTAAATGAGATTCTGAGATTGAAAGAAGAGTTCAAGTTCCGGTTTTAAATATTTAGGCAAAAAGTTGTACCAGATTCAATTTTTAACTATATTTTTTTTAGAAATGTTCTGTTTTCTAGATTATCTCTTAGAATTAATGACTTTCCAAGGATTTTAGATTCTGTTTCGTTTACAAAATTTTGTTAGTGAAATTATTTTAGGATAAAAAATGACAAGAACCTGTATATACCTTTCCTGAAAATTTATCGGTTATAAGAACAGGATACCGGTAATGGTTACTAGATTTCCTTCAGCCGCGTGTTCCTGGTTCTAAACTTTGTTTTTAATGTTCATGGTGTGGGTCAAGTGGCAGAAGAATCACGAGATATCTGCTGTAGCGTTATTTCATGGTTTGCATGTCGAACAAATTATATTATTATATGATTTAATAAAAATAGACATGCAAACCACAAAATGGCGCTCCATTCTCACTGCTATGTATGGACACTTTTAAACGCATTTAATTAATGAATCGCCAACCCTAGAAATATTTATTGATCTGACATAATCAGAATTCATTCTTGATTCATAGAATTGGACAATAATATATAAAAATTACAAAATAAAAAATAATATAATAATGTTAAAAAAAATTTTTTTATGAATATATAACTTTTTAAGGTAGTAAATTTTTGTATTTATAAAAAATTTCACTTTTAATTTTTAAAAGTTAAATACAAATATGAACAATAACAAATTAATATCATTTTTTTAAAAGAAACAAATAAGGATATATTAAATATTATAAAAAAAAATATATATATTTAATATAGAAAAACATTTTTTAAAAAAAATAAAAAATATATTACATGATTTATTGCGATCATGACCTCTATCGTTCAAGGTTCATTCCTCAGTTGTATCTAATTGGATTAAATTGAGTTGGATGAAAAATCTTTTCTGGGGAAGTTGCACGTACTAGTAACGCACAACAGTCCCTAGAGCTGTTATTTAAGTGTCCATAGGCTAAGAGAGAGTTGGGCAAAAAGAAAAGGCTTATACACTAGAACTTAACATTATAATTTAATTACTTTATGAGTGAGAGGTGGCTGAATTTTAAGTTTAAATTCCTTGTTGTAAATTTCAAATGATTACTACCGATATTGAGAGATTTAATGTTCATATCAATTAAATTTCGATTTATCCTCAGATAAAAAAAAATTTATGTGTTTAACCTCTGGTGAAATAAGATGTTTATTGCTAATATTCAAGTTCGATTAATATGGCTGAAAAAGTTCGGTAATAACTTTTTATTCTTGATATTCTATTATTTGCATTCGTATCATCCCACTTGAAAACCGAACCATTTAAAAAAAAATCAAATCAATATATTTCAGAAAAAAACATATTAAAAAAGGTACATATGACCCTAGAGAAGAGCGAATGCTTAAAAAATTAGACCGGCAGATGAAATCTGCCAACGAATTCTTCGCCAGGGTCCCCTGTGATCTGTCTCATTTTTTTCCTATGGCTTTAATGAAATTGAGGGCCAAACTTGCGAACATTTTGAACATTTTATATAATTTTTTTTTTATTTAAGGAAAAATATAATAAATTATGTATAAAAAAAAATTTATAATGTAAAAAAAATTATTTTATATATTTTTGAATATAACCAAATCTTGTAAACATTGCCCCTTTTCTTAATATACATAAATGATTAAAGAATGGTACACAGTGATGAGCTCAGACAACTGTTACATTGACTTGGTTCAATCCCAGATCATATCTGATGAGTTTAAGACGAAGCCTACAGTTGTTAGAACACCTAATAGTGCGCCCAAATTGAACGTTTCAACGCAACATTTCAAAACGCAAATAATACATTTTTATGCGTTTAAATTGGACAGAATTTTTTTTATATTTGTTTTAAATTTAGACGTTTCATATTAAAATAAAATATAAATTAACGGTTCAATATAAACAATTACGTTTTTTTATTTGCGTTTCGCGTTGAAACGTTCAATTTGTGGGCAATATATTACAATAAATTCAAAATAAAAATAGTCAACGATTACAAATTAATTAATTATATTCAAATTTAATTCTTCAAAAGAGTTAAAGCCTGCATTTAAATTCACGTGAAAAGTATGTTTAAAAAAAAATCGTTTTAAGATTTTTATAGTATAATAAATGTAATTTATGTATACTAATTGTGCCAATATTTTCTAGGGCAAAAAATTATTTAAAACAATAATAATGTCACCTAATCTTAAAATGAGACATTGAGTGTAAATCATGAATTGGGCCTATTCTTTTTTATAAAATATTAGATTCTGATTGGCTTAAATTTTGAAATTCTCCCCACATCAAAAATTGTATTCGATATATTATTGTTTAGTAGCAAAAATTAATAATTTAAAATGACTATAATTCGAAATTCTTCCATAATGATTTTTATAAAAATCTGATATAGCCAAAGGCCGCAATAATTGGACCTAAAAACCTCCAATCAAATTTAAGAGGGAATACTCCAGCCAATAATGTCCCTCCCTTCTTAACCAAAATCCTTGCTACATCTATGATATGATTAAATAAAATTGATATTTTTTTAAATTTTTGTAAGAAATAAAGAGTCAATATTTTTTGTTAGTACACTAAAAAAAAATATTAAGCTTAATTTCTCTATAAGAAATTAAGGGCCATATATTGTACAAAAATTGAAATATAACTAAAACATTTTTATAGAATCTTTTAAATATTAAAATTTAAAAAAAATATAGGGGCCAGGGGCTAGTCAGCAATTTTTGTCAAAATCATTATAGGTCCGAAAATTATTACCACTTAAGATGGAAAATACTATGAGGTTGGGAAATAGGGATTTCAGTCTATCTGCAGTATTTGTCGAGGGATATCATTCTCTTCACCTAACCTTATACATTGATAAATCTATTAAATATTTATTACTTTTTCCTCAAGATTGATTCTAGTAAAAGTCATATTATGCGCTCAAGCCCTAACCCTGGGTTCTTGTAGATTCAATTATGTTATTATAAGTCTCCCATAAGATAACTAATATTATTATTGCATTATTTTTAATGGACATTCATATAAAAATGACAAAAATATTACATTGTTCGAATTATAAAAAAAATGTGTAAAATTTGTAATAAATTATTTTATTTTTTCCTAATTCTACTATTGTATTATAAATATGAATTTTGATTTAAATATATAATAGTAGCCAATGATAAACTTATTTTATATTATTACACATAAATATATTTTATTATATCATATTTGTAAACATGATTTGATTGATCCGACTAGCCCTGAGTCTTACTAGCCCCTAATTACTAATAAAATTAATACCTTCTAAGAAATATACTCAAAACATGATATATCAATGAATCTTTCTGAAATGCGAAAAGAGGGTTTTAAATTTTATATAGTGTCAATTTTTTTAACTCTTCATATTTTAAATGCCACCTAATATTGTGGTGTTTTTACCTAAAAAACACATTTTATCATAAAATTTTTTAGGGATATAAAATATTTTATGCTACTACATAATTAAATTTAAATTTCTAAACGTGTCCTGTTTTTAAATATAATCCGGGGATACAACAGGCCTCTTGCTCCTACTAGCTCGGTTTCCCCTACAGCTTAACAAAAATAATAATTGTAAAAAAAACTTGAATAAACAACCCTTACTCTCAACACTGTCAATACCTAATCTGAAAATTAAAAACCTCTTGACTATGAAATTTCCTTCAAATTCTTTATTTAACAATATCACAAATTGATAATATGAAAATTAACATTTATATGCAAACGAGTAAACAATAATTATCCAAATTACATTGTGAAATCTTTAAGATCAGTCCAAGTCATCCAATATATACCGTGCATTCTTGATCTCTTTGCCCTCCCACACTGTCATCCCGTGATCTCCACATCCCACTTTTCTCCCCGAGGAAAATTAATTGTTCATGTCAGAAAAATGACTGACACTTAGTATATATCAAATTTATTTCTTCTTTTTCTAACTGCTACAACAATAATGAGTAAATATATCATGTAGTGTTTGTCATACGTCTTGATTTTTCAAAAAACGAACTAACCCAATATTTTGGCCAAAAAATGTTATGCAAGCCTCTAGATTTCGTTAATAAATGTCCAAACCTTTTTATAATCTAAGAGCAAAAATATTCCAGGCCTGCTTAATATTATTTTGGTTAAAATATTGATATCCCGTGTTTAATTTTTAAAATATATAAATGATGATAAAGATAAAAAATTCAGTGTAAATGTTTCGATATAAAAGAATATTTAGGTATTTCTCATTTAGGATATCACAAGTGCGTTATCTCCGTAGGAAGATTCATATATTCCTCAAATAACTGAATATATTTAGAATTTCTATACTTAAATAAATTCGAGCCGTGCCGGGTAGATAAATAATTTTAATTTTATTACGGGTCGGGTATCTAGGGACAAATAAGAAACATTGTTCAAGATCGGATCGAGCCGGGAAAATTTTTTTGAAATTCGGCCGGGTTTGAAAAATTAGGCCGGGTTTGAAAAATTAGGCCGAATGTAGAACGCTAATGTGAATTTTACTTATATACTAATTATCTGCTATCAGTCAGATTATCGAACAATGAATACTCTAACAGCACTCAGCAGAATCTAACATCGAACCCTTATAATAAAACTAATGGCGATCAAGATGAAGATCTTTTCTACAGCGACGCTTTATTCGCGGACCCGGGTGAAAACGTGGAATCGGACAGATTATTTTCTTACATCCACGCTGCTAGACCGGGCTTAAGCTGGAGCTCCATGACCCGTTTTGAAAATCGGGAGAGCCGAGGTAGAGAATTAGCAAGTGCAATGCCATTATGCGATTTTCAATCTTGTCAGGCTCCGTTGACATGCGTCCTGCAGACTACCGGATTGATGGATTGCATGTGTCCACCACCTAGTGTCATCGATGTCGTCAATAATATTTGCGCAGGTAATTAAAAAAATAAAAATTTTTTGATTTGAAAAATTTATAATATAAACATATTTAACCTGATACTAACAGTGTTGTTATGATATCTATTGAGAGTAGTGATACAAAATCACTTCATTTAATTTTTAAAAACGGTAAACTCAGTATTCTATCCAACACAACTATTTCGATCTCTATTATCCAAATCGTGAAGCTTAGGCAATGATTTTCCTGGTTAAAATTGGGTCTAGCGGTTTTTGAAAATTGGCTCAGATGGAACAATCTTCCGTCACTAATTGGCCAATCATTTTTCAAGCGCCGAAAATGTGTTAATTGATAAAACCTCATAATATTTTGAACAATATATTATCGCTAGTAAAACCAGTATTTTAAAATTTTTGATAATTTATATCAGAGACCTGCAGTGGATTTTTTACGGCCCGGCCCGGGTTTAAAATTTTTAGGCCCGGCCCGGATATTTGAAAAAAATTTTGGCCCGACTCTGAATTTTTTAAAATAATATTCGACCTGATATATACAAAAAAATCACCTACACTTATAAGGCATTTTATCGTATTTTTCGTCGAGTATTATAATTTAATAAGCAGCAAGCATATTAGCTAATGTTGTTAAACGGCTCGCTTTGTGCCGATTTTTAAAAACGGCTAACTAAATATTTTTCGCGAAATTTTGATACTATATGTCTAGACACCTTTGCTCCTTCTATGAACAAATATTTCAGGCTTACATAATATTTTATTGGATGAAATACTGTGTTAGCCGTTTTTAAAAATACATCACTACACTATATTTTTTTTTTAATTTTTATTCTAAACAGATATTTGGTATATTACAAATTGATACTATATTTGTAAATAATATTTTGAGAATATACTATATTAATTGTATTTATAAAAAAAATAAAACTGATATTTTAATTATTATAAAATATAACATAATATTATATAATAATGTATTTATTACCTATTATCCTTTGCGTATTTAGTCCATGGCAGGAAAACTATAATTATATTATGTAATAGATATTATGAGTGTTAGTTACAGTTAACTTTCACCCAACATTATATTAATCTTAACTATATATAATCATTATAACCATATCTAATTGACGAATATAATAATTCATGTTGTATAAATTTTTTAGAAAAATTTCCAGGGCCAGGTCTCTGATTTATATCCAATTCAATATTCTCCAATGCTTAAAAAATAATCAATTTAAAATTTAACATTGAACCCTTATTACCTCAATCGCTAGAACGCTTCAGTTAAGAGACAGCAGATGTTGTTTTCTTTCATAATTCTTAATAACGACTTTCAAAAATTGTACATAGTTGACGAATGATGATTTTAACTAAGCGAGTCTAAAGTAAATAGATAATTAATATGCTCTGTGCCGTACACAATGAGGTTAATGCTAATCCCTGACTGACAATTCATTCAGTAAAATGTAAGAAAAGAGGTGCATACATTGAAGTCTACGATTGTAAAATATTTAGACGAAATGTGAAACGAGACAAAATTCCTTTTATAGGCGTCTGCTGCAGCCAATGGCATTGATTACAGTTGACTTCATTGTATGTATGTACGCTACTTATAACAAATGAATCGTCAGTTTAGATTAGCAATTAATGTTAGTCCAAAAATTTCAAGTTTGAAATCAAGAATATTTTTTTATTTAAGAGAGCATCAATGAGAATGATATTAGTTAAATTCCCCTGGGTATCCCATAATTACTGCAAAACATCTTCTGCCTATTTTTTATTAATCGCGAAAATACATTACCATGACAGCGTTAACGCAAAGTCATTAGAAAAAAATATTAAGGGGATCGCGTTATAGTGCATTCACTACTGATGGTGGAAAAAAAAGCCTTGGATAAATATACGACCGTTAAATGCTTTACTCTCAATACATTCACCCGATAACATTACGGCGAATTACTAAAGCAAACGCATTTATTCATATAAGGTTTTTGTGTTCTTTGATAAATCATATGACACTTTTATTGAGTGTTTTACCCTGATCTTTTAAATATAGAAAAAAATCATTGTTCAAAAATGAAGGAGACCTTATATATATGTGACTAAATAATCTAAAATTCAAATTAAATCCTAAAATAAAATGGTTCCTTAGAAATTTACGCTTTTATTTACCATTTTTACAATCTCCAAACATTTAGAAGAATATGCTATGAAATTGTACAACAATAATTGACCAAATCATACCATCTAAAAAAATTCATTAAACGCTTTTTCGATCACCAAATAAACTAATGAGAGAAAAAAATACATTCAGAAATCATGTGATATTTCGATTATTGAATAAATACTGGATAACTTTTTTCGGAAGAACGGCGTAGTAATTCTTAAACTCCATCAAGTTCCGGCTCCTAAAATATTTTATGCTTCTAATTTATTTCAGATGCAATTAATTATAGATTGGTAGTTGGTTAGAGATTACTTGCTTCTCTTAAGGAATGGCACATCTTTCATCCAATCTTCCTTAATTTCTGTAGAGGAGTCTTTTACATCGTTAATATTTTATAGTATTCAATGCATAAAAAATTTTTGAGATAAAATCTTAAATTTTTTTTGAAGATTATATTCAAAATCTGATCTTTATACGTGAGTGCCTCTAATTTTACGATAGCAAAAAGTATAAATATTTAAATTGAGATTATTTGAATATAAATTTTTTTTTATTATAAATAAAAAACATAGTACCAGGTTCTAGGGTAACCGTCAGGGTGAGGCTCATACACATGGCTTTTGATCGCAGATTGACAGATCCAACTAGCCCCTTTTTCAGCGAACTAGCTATGAGACTTCTAAATTATTTCCAAGTATTTTTCAATCAATACAAAGTCAGAAGAGGTAGGCTTTTAGATATTAACGTTCTTCGCTTTACCAGGGGTTCTGTTATAGCCCACACGGATTTCCTTTACGCAGAACTTGGTAACGATACCTTGAGCATCCTAAGAGAAACCTTGGAAGAAGGTATCAAACATACCCCACTCCATTCTCCTCTAAATTTGACCGATGGCCAGATCCTAAAAATTGCTACTGCCGATCCTTGTAAATACATGGATGACGATGATGACGATGACGCCGATGGGTTAGTCGCGAGTTTGCCTAAAAAACACTCTGACAAGTATAATATTTGCCCCGAAAATTCGTATTGCGTATCCAAAATAGATCGGTTTATCGAATGTCGTTGCAAGGACGGGTTTCAAAACATTGTCACTCATAAAACGGCATTTAACGTGATATGTAAAAGTAAAAGATTATTTCTCTCCAATTATTTACTCTCGTCTCGTGATTAAAACTATTTAAAAGTTGTTTAATTGTTTAAATGCGATCATTATTTAGTTTTTTCTAGTCATTCAGGCAATTTCTTAAAAACCCCACATTATCCACATTAGAGGTCTGCAATGGGTAGCTCGCCCTCACCCCTGAAGTCCGCGCCGATTATCTTACGGGCGAACGTGGGGGTGGGGCTTTCTAAAAGATTTTAAACACTAGGCTGGGAAGTGGGCAGGTTAAAGAATATTTTTTTAAAAATGGGCGGATGATGGGCAGGCGTATTAAATATTAACAGACATCTAATCATTAAAAATCATTTTTTTTATTTATTTTAATATTATGGCATATTTATAAGTTTGACTAAAATCAAGTTGAAATAATTTTTAAACTTTGGGCAGAGGGGGGTTAAGCAAATATTTTTGATAGTACGCGGGCGGTGCCAGCTAGCGGGTTAAAAAAAATTAAATCAATGAGAGGAATGGGAGGATGTTCGGATCAAAATCTGACTATTGCAGACTTCTACAGCCGAAATGGGAAATTTTTCATTAATCGTTGATTGATATCCTAATGTGAGGTAGAAATTAAATATTTAACAATTTGTGATTAGTGCATTATATAAGATTCTATTTGTACCTATAATAGAGATCGGCAAATGGGAGAGTTTTTACCCAGCCAGCCTATAATCGCCCATTCTCCTGGCTGGCATAGGAGGGATTTCCATATTTTAAACAATGAGAGAGTAGCGGGTGAATTTTAAAAAAATTTAAACAGTAGGCGGGCGATGGCGGATAAATTTTAAATTTTTGGGACGAAATGAGCAGAAGAGACTTCTTTTATTATCCAGCATATTTTATCAGTTTAATTAAAAAATACACGAAAATAAGTAAATAAAGAGCCAACCCAGCCATTAAAATAATTTTTAAACATTGGGAGGGCGGAAACGTAAAAAGAAGATTAACGGACAAATGAGCAGGTGGAGAGGGGGGGGAGTGAATTTTTCAAAAATCGCGATTCGCGGGCGGGATAGTTAAAAAAATTTGAACAATGAAATCCTTGTTTTATTTTAAAAAGTGATTTTTTTTTCCGTTAGATGTATGTCCGAGCGACTATTGCAAAAATAAAGGTACTTGCTTAACGAAAAAATCAGTGAAATCGTGTCAGTGCAAGGGATGGTATTTGGGAGCCAAATGTCAATTCCACGGATTGCATATTCTAATCATAGTTTTGACGTCCTTGCTGACTGTATTCCTCTACGCCGCAAGAATTATTTTCGATCGCTATTATTCAAAGTTAATTTTTTTTATTATTATTATTATTGCTTTGGTAAGTTTTAATAGTAATCAATTTTTAAAGAATTCTTTTTAATTATTTAAAACGCTTTTTTTTCAAATTCCCAAGATGTTAATAGTAATATAAAAATAGTAAAATAATAAATTAATGGTTCAAGTTATAAAATATTATATACGAATTATATCATGATAATGGAATAATTTTTTTTCTTTTTTTTCCCACAATTTAATAAATAAATATATTAAAAATAAAAACGATAAATTTTATAGAAACGGAATTTGGACAACAAAGTATATTTCAAATTTTAAATGATGTAAGAGCTCTTTGTTGAAGTTCCTCTTAAATATATGTCCAAGGTAAGAGATAACGATTGATAAAAAAATATTTAATTTGTTGATTTCTCGGCTTATTAACCGGATTAGAATTTACATTTTTGCAAAAATAAAGTAGAGCATGTGAAATTAAAGATTTACTTATAGACCAAGGTATAGAAGTTAAACCATCTGGCCTTTGTCATCATCTGATGATAAGTGCTTCAGGATGTTTGGTATCCTAACCCCCGTTAGAAAACGGCTAATACCTGAATTAATTGCTGCATGCCTTGCATGTCTGCAGTGACTATATACAATTATCAACCAATTTTACATTTTACGCAAGTATATGGTTAAACGATGTTATATCTAAGTCGGTGACATTTGGCGTTGATCGGAGGTTACCTAGGTTAAGATTTGATATTGCTTCCACTAGTCATAACCACTAGTGCATTGATAATTTTTTTTATAATATAAGGAGAGGGGGGGGGGGTTAATAGGAGCATTTCCTTCTTTTCTTTCTTACTTGCATCTTCAGGTAAAGCTGAAGATTTTCAAGCAGTTAAGGCCGAAATTTAAAAAGTTATTTTAAGGGGTGGTAAAAGAAAATATCATTGCGATGCTCATCAAAAAATGATAGATATTAATAAAGTAAATTATCGGGAAAAAACAATAAACGAACAATCTATTAGTACAAAAAGTTAAAAGATTCTCTTTATGTCCAAGTAAATTTATATATTATCGTACAAAAGGTTAGTAGATTCTTATATATTGACACTTTTCTAACCTTTTTTTTTACGTTGATTTTTTTTCCTTCTTGTAGCTGATTTTGATTGATAGTACATTCAATTCGAATGTTTGCTAAAGACATTGATTCTTCCTTTAAAATTTCTAATTCTGGTTAAACTTTGGTGAGTATGAATCAAATAAATTAAGTCTCTATAATTGCTTGTTGGGGGAGGCTTGACCCTCTTATCTAGAGGCTTAGGTATATATAATTGTTTTAGCTGACATCTTGATTCAGCTGATTTTTAAAAGTCGCCAAAATCGAAATTTTAGCAAACCTCTATTCTATATTTTATAAATCTAAGTATTCCTAGATTAGATTATCCTACAATAATTTTATTTAATTTTCATCTCCTCTTTTTCCATTTACCACTATATCTTTTTTTCTCACAATTCTTAAACATCCTTCTCGTAAAATAAGATCACTTTTTCATATCTTTAGTAGTCTACTATTTGTTTTAGCCTTTATGACTTCGGCAAGGAATTTCTAATAAGAAAATCCTCTATAACAATTACAAAGATCATCTCTGGAACTTTACGTTCCATTATAATATAAATTTTTGACATCTCCTATAGACCTTTCCTCGTCTTAGAAACATTCCATTTGGTTTGACGTATGAAAAAAAGGATTAACACCTATCTTACGTTTCTTAATTTTGCCATTTATTAAAGATACAAACCTATCATTTTGAAATAAAAGTATACCCTCCTCATATATTTAATATATAATCTTATCGGGTCTCGTTAGAGGAATTTCTAGCTAGATAACAATTATTAAAGTTGTTAATTGATCGTCAAAATAATCTATGGTAAATATATTAAACGATCATTTAGTCCTTAATTGGGTTCATAATTTCAAAATCAGATTATTCGTCAAATCTCTAGATCTTTTCGAAAAACTTTTTTATAAAATAAACTAAATAACTTGTTACAACACCATTATATAAAAAAATACACTTTTAATAACGATTTTTTTAGATCCGATGTAAAACGGCTTGGCGGAATTACCCTGATCCCATGGAAACAGGGCCAATTTTTTGTTAGGGAACTATTCTTATATAGGTTCATTATCCCCATCCAACCGAACTCTAAATGTACTCGAGCAAATGAACAGCTTATAATTTCCCAAATATTCGGAAATTTCTGGAGACCTTATCTTTGTTCTAATAATATCCACAACGTTAACTTCCTTTGGTTGGCTTGCATTATCCTTCTTCAAAGATTTAGGATCTCACATCTGCAAGCTTACTAGCAATTCTCGAGAACGCTTATTCCTCTAACAGATGGCCATGATATCCTTAAAGCGAATTATATAAGCTCAATAGAGATTTCACTAGACTTACTCTTCTTTCCTTATCCTTCACATTTTACGCTATATTTATTCTTCCTCTTTTTTAATTAATTTGTTTTATTGTATATTTTAAATATTTATAATCATTTATCTTATTGTAATGTTTTTTAATATTGAAATATTTAAAAAAAATAAAGTTTTATCATTTAACATTTATTAAATATATATAAAGGATTAAACTGAACCAATAACCACAAAAACCTAACATTTTCTAAATATTTTAAGGTTTAGGAAAGGAAATAGTTTCTAACTAATTTTTAGTGCTAAATTTATACTCTATAAATCTTCTACCATTATATAATAATAATTATAAATATGAAAACAATTTCAAAAAAAATACATATACTACATAAATATATTTATTTAAATCATTCAAAGAAAATCCAAAACAATCTATGTACGACGTCAAAAATATCACTTTTTGAATGAATCACCCAATCCATCTTATATATCTAAAGTATCTAGCCAACGTTCTCCACAAATCCGGTAATCTCTAAATTCTACGCCTAAACTTCTAATCCAGAAGCATATATCTGGAGCTGATACCAAAAACATTAGATAATATATATAAACTACCTCATTAAATACATGAAGTTTTTCTTTTCACCAATTATTTTTAAAGTGTAAAATATCCGCTGTATCATATAATTCTATTTATATATTGCAAACAATAGTGTCTCAATTGATAGATATTCAAAATAAAGCTAAATACATGCTTAATAAAATATTAATTTTTATAATTAATATTTGCTTAAGATTCATTTATACTATTTTTCAAAGAAGAAAAAAATAGCTCCTCAAAACACGTAAAAGAGAAGGGAAAAAAGATATCTAATAAGATTACATCCATTGGTGGATGAATGATAAGTTGTTTAATTTAATAATATTTTCAAATAAATAGATGGCATAAAAGAATTGAATGCAAATTGTTACTTATATTTATTATCAGAAGCATTTATTAAATCTTAACTGTAATATATTCTATACTGTCAAATATATCTGTATAAGTAGCATTTTACTTAATATTTTATAACCAGTATTATATAATAGAGAATTATCAACTATATATCTACTTTATAAAGAAATCTCTTATAATCATTTGGACCTTGAAAATATTTTTAGGAAAAAGTATGGTAATTAAATTTAAAAATGAATAATTTAGTTGATTAGTGATTTTGAACTCTGCTAATTACATTAATAAATTTGTCAATTTTCAATTAATAAATGATTTTATTTATTTAATTAGGGTTATAAAATAATTTAAATAATAAAATCAATTAAGCTTCAACTTGCTAAATTAAATTTAGACATTTTGAGTGATATTGATATTCTATTTTTAACACAGAATTTGATTGCAAGCTGACATATCTAATCTAATCTATTAATTAAAATAGCACTCATATAATAAAAATTTAGATAGTCTAATTAATTAATAAATTAAAATCTATATATAATACGTATTAGAATTATAAAAAAAAATCGTTCAGGGGGTTATCAAAAAATTTATTTTTAGTTCAGGGGATATTAGGGAGCCAATTAAGAAAAAAAATTTTTTTGTCAGGGGATATTCAAAATTTTCAGGGAGCTATAGCCCCTATGCCCCCCCTTGACGCTACTAGCATAATGCCAATTTGTAGATTTTTTCTTATTATTTTTTATCTCTATCCTGTCTACCAAACGGAATAAAAATAATATACAACTAAGCACTAAAAATTGAAAAAATTTTCAGAATATATACTTTCAGCCGTCTTTAAATCGTAAGGTTTGCCAAAAATTTTATTACTAATATCAATTTTACTTTTACTGACATACTGGTTAAACAATAATAGATACTAATAAATCACAAAATATTACCATTAGAATAAGTGTTTTTAATTTTTCAGCCACTCTAACGGAAATTATGTAAAGATAATATATATTTTAAACGTAAAATAGAAATATCCAAAGAAACTCCTATCTAATAAGATTTTTTATAATAGAGACATGGAGTTCTAAATGGGTTTTCCGTAAAGTGGAAATAAATACTAAGGCCTTATCCTGGTTCGAATTTCTAAATAATCGTCTGTTTAGCCGTCTATATAGTTTCGTATTCAAGTTCAAAATCTGTTTAGCCAGTAAATTTCTAAAATAAGAACCAGGACACTGCTTAATCGCTTTTACTTTAAAGAACGATATATCTCTATGTTTATCATTAGACATTCGGTATTCTCTTTCTATTTATAAGATGAGAAGATTTGTCAAGGTATAATACAATAAGCTCCTCCTCTTCTTTAAGTTTAGATTATTTCGCCAACAGTGAGAGGATGATTCATGAATATTTGAAGGAACTTTATTTATTTACATTCAAGAAGAAATTCTTAATGGCAAAAATCAATCGCGGCTTTCTCTCCCGTTCATAAAGGGCGTGACTAAAATATGCGCCCCCGGAAACAAGGAGCTCCCACGCAGAAGCTTAATTTAAATTATATTAATATAGAATCGTATTTAGTTTTATAAGATGATTTAGAAAATGTTTTTTTTTATTTAAAAAAATAAAAATAATGCTATAGTAAAATTTTATAAGAAATAAATTCTCAGGGAAGCTTAATTTATAAAATATGAACGCAGAATCATATATAGCTTATTAAAAGGAATCAAAAAATGTTAATATTATATTTTAAACTTTTTATAACTTAGTGAAATTTTGAAAAAACACTTCTTTTTTTTTGACCAAACTATGTGCCCCTATGCGCCCTAGGTGAGTATATAATATTTTTAAAAAATGAATGCAGAATCATGTTTAACCTATCACTAGGATCTAGTCATTTTAATTAATTTTTTACAAACATGCTCATCCACCCCAACCCTCGATAAACACCCAACTTAATTCAAGCTAATTTTTCATTTTGCACATACATTTCACAAAGGTTAGGGAGACATCTGTTAACGAAATCTCAAGGCTTAAGCAATAATAACCTAATATATTTTGTTTGTAGAATAATTTTTTTTCCATATGTAAATATATACGGGCTAAGCCTGTTACGACTAATTTTAAAAAATTGGGGCATGTTGGGGCTTGAAAAATTTGGCCCGACGCAGTTGAATAGTAAATAGAGTTTTATAATGAGAAAATATTTTGATGATTTAGAATAATTTATCAACTAATCAAGAATGATATCTAGCGATTCAAGATAATTTAGAAAATGTTATATACCAGAGTTGTTAAAGGATCTAGATACAAGGATCAAGATACAAGTATCTAGATCCTGTATCTAGATATAAAAATGTGGTATCTGTATCTGTATCTAGATAGATTTTTTAATAAAATATCGGTATCTAGATATTATTTTAGACGATGTATCTGTATCTTGATCCATTTAAAAAGTATCTTTTAACAACTCTGTTATATACTATCTTAGTTTTACACGATTCATTTTCTTATGATATAAAGAAGTTATAAAAATTATGACGAGCATTTCGTTAAGATATATTTATACTTGTTTACATTTTCTCTTTATTTTAAAGTTAATATTAATATATATATAAATATATATTTTGTTAATTTTTACATAATTTTTTTATAAAAAAAAAAATTTGATTTGGTATCCCATTTTCGACTGCGTATCAGCATCAAAAAATAAAAATACTTCAATAATAAAGTAATATAAATTAAATAATTATGTTCTGAGTCAATCTTTGGAGAGATGACGACGTCAATATGTATTCAATTATTTTAGAAACTAATTGGTGAATCGTATTTATATATATTTGCATTTTATTTTTATAATTATAATAATTAAATTTGGGCCAAATCATTAAGAACGCGTGTTTAATTTTTTTTTTGATACGCTATTTTTAGATATATAAAAATCAGTTACGGTATACTCATGATGATATGAAAAATTGTAATTTTAAAAGAATATTTTTAGTTTATTTAATTATTTTGTGATGATTATTGCTTCCCTATAGAAGAAAAGCTTAAATTGTATTTTTACAGTTTTTTTATTTATAAATAATATTATTAAAGTAGTTAATTTCTATTTTACTTTTCATAGCTCAACCACACTTTTTAACCATATGATCAATAACACAAATAACACAAATTTCATTCTTATAACTTTAAAAAAATTATCTTCTTTTTAATAAATTAAAACTTCTATCATTGGATTAAATTTAAAAAAAAAATTTATTTTTTTTATTTGTTGATTTTATTTAATTTAATAAAACAGATGATTCCTTTTATAATCATAAAAGCCCGACCCAGATTTAAAATCTAAATATATAATTATATTTCTTTTATTTTTAGTTTTATTTATTTTTAAATACAGTACTTTTATTTTTTTTAAAATTATATATATTTAAAATGACATGTAAACTATTTGTAAAATAAAATTTATATAAAAACTATACTAAATAAAATATTAATTATTAAAATATAATATAATTAAAATACATGATTCGAAAATAATATATCCGCAAGTTGGCGTTTATCGTTTTTAAATACCTTATTTATAAAAATATAATAATTTTTTCTCATTTCTAAATTATAAACTATTTAATTACTTTTATTATCAAGATATAAAAGTCAAATAAAATAAGATTTTAATAATACAGATATATAACGTTAGTGTTATATCATTACCATTAAAAATAGGTAGATTGAATCAATAAATGTTTTTAATTGTTTCCTATTTATATAAATATCATTGTAACGAATGACATATTTAATCATTTTTTATAAAGAATTTATTATAATACTTTTAAATATATTAGGATCAAATATTAAAAATAGAAATTAAAGGTTGAATCGATACTTACCGGCGAATAAAATTATTTTTAAAGGTTGAATCGATACTTACCGACGAATAAAATTATTTTTTATATAAATTTTATGATGAATTAGAAACTGTTATAATAATCATTATTTTTTATCATCTTCTGGTTATTATGCTATAAAATACACAATTTTCTTATTTAAGGCATTACACGTACTTAAAAAAAAAATTTTGTTTTAATATATTCATTTTTGCACTGATATTATAAAATCTTGATATCATTGGATAAAAATATCTTTTATAAAATCTTAAATTAATATTTAAAATTTATTTAAAATTGTCAATTAAAATTACATATCAATTTTCATTTTATTTTCTGATGTTTTGCATACTATTTTAATTCAATAACCTGACAAATATCTACGATCTGATTTTCTAAATTTTTAAAACAAATAATTTTATTTATCAGATATACAAAATACCATTTATTTCAAGTAAAATATCAACTTTATCACGAAAACCGAAAACACAAACAAACAAATATAGCAACCTTAAGAATGTTTTGTTTGTTCCGGTAGTCTCAGATACCTGTGGATCATTTAGACCCCAAGCCCTAAAATTATTCAAAACAAGGGCAAAGGTTACGTTTAATCACAGGTGATCCAAAAGAAGGCTTCTACCTTCGACAGAGAATATCAACTGAAATCTGTCGCTCTAACTGCATATCCATACATGAGTCGAATAATGATTGATAAAGTCATTGCTTATAAATTACATCTGTCAAAAATATTGTAAAGCGTTAAATATCTACGCCTTCCAAATGATTTATTTATTTTTATTTGAAATTGATTATAGTGTTCAAATTTAGCGATCGTCTGATTTTTATGTTCGATAGAATATTGAAAAGGAATAACACAAACAAAAAACTAATAACCACTATCAACAGGTTATCTTTTAATGTTTTAATATTTTTTTCTGCTTATAGAATTCATATTCAAAACATATAATCACAAAACTGCAACAAGAATTAAACTAATCTATTAAAATAAGATATCTATAAAGCACACAATTATTTGTCTATATATTTTCTTATTTTTCTATTCTTGTCAATTATTTATTTTCTATCTTTAAAAAGGCACCTTCATTCCTCTTTAATTAAACTGGCCCTGACAGTTTGGTAAATTACTGACAAAAAGTAGATACAAATCTACTTCAATTTAGACGCCCTATAAAGGTGGAAGCTAGTGAGTTTCTTCAGTGAAGGATACGATACGATAATGAATCCCCTTCTCTTCTTCACCTCGTATTTTTCTAAATTATATTTTATTTTTGAATGACATTTATATCAATCGTGTGATTGGCTTGATTTCTTAGCAAAATTAAATATTCGTAAAATCGGGTGGAATGAAAGCTCGCCCAATTGTTTTAGCAAGAGCTCCTAAAGCTTTGCCATCAATTAGCAATGAAAAAGCTGAAAAGCAAGAACATAAATTAAGTATTATAAAGTATGAACAAATCAAAGAATTAAGAGATTTTAGATTATTTTATTGAAATAATAGATAAGAATGATAACTGGAATGATCAACCTAAGAATGTATTAATAAATTTATAAAAATGTAATTATTTTTAATTTAGGTTTTTACTCAAAATACTGCTTACAATATAATTGGAGTAATTGGTAAACAATATTGTGGGAAATCCTTTATACTTTCAAAGATTGCTGATATTTATAAGTAATTTATAATTTTAATTAATAGCTTGTTACTATTCTATATTTAATATTTCTGATAAGTTTTATAGATTTTCATTTATTCTAAATTTAAAATTAATTTTTTACCTGAATATTATAGGTATTTATGTTTTAGTTTATAAAATTCTTTTAAATATTTGATAATAACTATATTAAAAATTTTAAGTGATTCCCATGAATTGGAAAATCATTTTAAATCAGAACCTTTATCTAGTCGTCAAGAACTAGTCTCTGAATCTAGATCGATCCGCATGTACATATCAACTGCCCGCAATATGTGGATTGACACAAGACCATTGTTAGAAAGTTCTACCCTGCTAAATAAGTTAAACCAATTTAAAAGGAATATGAAAGATATAAATATCACCAAAACAAAAGATATAAGGAGTGGATATCCAATCCAGGAATCTGAAATTTCTAATTTTAAAGATATTGATACAAATAAAGATTTTGACGTGAGAAATGTGCAGAAATTTTTTGAAATCAAGGATATTCAGGTATATCTTGAAAAGACAAAATATGTGGGTCATTCCAAGTCAAATTGTTAAAGATTTACTGCAGACTCTGGGATTTTTATGAAATTTTATAAGCAATATTGAATTTTTAGCACTTAGCTCTCATATTTTTGGTGATATAAGGGTTAAAGTATGCAATTTTTATTTATATTTAAGATTTACATAAAAGAATAAGTAATAAAATGTATACTTCAAAAATTTTAAAAGTCCAGCTCATTAGTTTATTAAAAAATGCATAAGTTTCCTGGCCTGGAATTATGTTTGTTTAGCTCACCTAAGCCCAATAATTTTACTAATTTCCTGGCCTGGCTCATTTAAATTTTGCAAAAAATTAGGCCTGGCTTATTAAAAATTTAGGAAATTATATTGTAATTATTTATACCACCATATCATAAATAACTTGATTTTTTTGTGAATTCAAAATTTTATTTATAGATTTAGTATTTTACTTAGATTCTTAAAATAAAAGGAAATAAGTATACTGTAATTTATAGCACTAATCAAAAAATTAACTGAAATTCAAAAAAAAATATAACAAATTTCAATGCTAGTTATTAAAATTATGTCCGGCCAAAAATGGTCATTCTTTTGTAAAATAGGGTATAAAGTATTTTATATAGATTTGACTTAGTTAAGCAGTTTTAGGGTAAAATTTAAGCTTATTGTTATTTTAAAGGATTTTAATATAATTCAACCAATTTTTTATGCATAGATTGTCTGGCCCATCAAATATTTGTGTATAAATTTTTAGCCTGGCCTAGCTTGTTTATTTTTTAAAGCAACTCATGCTTTGCGGATCCCTGGTATACATTCTATTTATTAAAATATTTTATTTAACGTAGCATTTAGCCTCAGTTGAAGGTTGAAAATCCCTGATAATTAGTATCCCCTTTTAATAAAATGTTAAGAATATTCTGTTTATATCGTTTTTTTTAATTAAATTTTTTAAATATAAATTGGGTGTCACATTTGTTTAAAGTTTTATAAAAAAAAATAAGAAATTCGTTATTTTTACATTTTGAACCTTAAAAAATGGGGCTAAATGGACCGCTACAATTCAAAAATATTTTTTAAAAATTTGAATGAATGCACTTTATTTCAAGTATTATTTCGTAAATTTTTAATTGGCAATCGATAAGTGTTAGGTCATTTTTTCATACTTTGACCCTTGATATCTTCAAATATTTAGGAGCTATGATGCTAAAATTTGAACACTGGTCTACAAAATTTACCCAAATTTCAAAGGGTCCTACACAGATCATGTTTTTTTTAAATCTATTTGACGTGAAATGAATGACCCAATATAAAATGCATTTTAGTTTAGATATTAATATATTTTTTTTATATATTGCTCTCCAGACTGCAAAACGTTTCTAAATAGCATTTTTGAAATATAGCAGGGACAATTTTTTTTATTAGAGATATACCGGCCTTTATCTGGATCTTTCCTTTTTGGATTCGGCCAGTTCTTTGAAGAATAAAATGATAATACAACTCGAGGAAATTTTTTAATGGGATGAAATATGTGTAAAGTTTAACAAGTAGGATTAAAGGTTACAAAGCTATGGTTAGGGTTGATTAAAGATTTTGAGTTTATTAATAATTTGTTAAATCTGACAGGTCATGTGATTAAAAATAAGAGTTTGACCATGATCAGCTGGTTTTTACCAATTTTTGACTTACTTTTCTTTGAAATTATAGGAAATCTAGATGAGAATTGGATTATTTTTATTCATTTAAACGATATGTAATAAAGGTTGGTATTCGTGTTGTTAAACGGCTCGATTTGAGCCGGTTTTTTAAAACCGGCTATCTCGATATTTTAGCCAGAAAAATATTGTCTAAGCCTCGAGATTTCGCTAAGAGATGTCCAAACCTTTGTGCCAACTATGAGCAAACTCTTTAGGATCTCGTAATATTATTCTGAATTAAACATTGAATCAGCCGTTTTTTAAAAATCAGCTCAAATTGAGCTATTTAACCACACTAGGTATCAAGTATTTTTACATCAAATGACAATAATATAGCCGCAAAATATAGAAAAGTTTATAAATTTCAACTATATTATATCTTATAAAGATAGTAGTTTTTGAGTCGATTTTCCAAAACGGATAACTCAATTATTTTTTGCCAGAAATATGTTGCTTAAGCCTCGAGATCTTGATAATATACGTTCTAAACCTTTTTTCCTTCTATGAGCAAAATCTTCAGGCTTGCGTACTATTTTTCTGGATAAAATATTGAGTTAGCCATTTTCAAAAATGGTCTGTTTAACAACACTATCAAATGATACATAAAACTAATTTTAATATAATAAATAAAGGCAATTTAACATTGGTATCATAAATAATATGCGAAATTATCAAACAAAGTATTTCCAGCAAAGTATCTCTAGAGGAACAAAATATTGAATACGATTTATTCTACCGATTAAGATACTGGTAGATTTTCAAATGTATTTTTTAATTGAATCAAATTTACTTGCTAAACGATTCGATTTCCTATTTTCTAAAAGCAGCTATCTCAAGATTTTTCTCCTCAGATGTCAGAAAGGTTTGGGCATCTATTAGCGACATCTCTAGGCTTCCCTAATATTATTTTGGTTAAAATTTTGATTACGGGCCTTTCAACAACACTGCTTTCTAAGTAAAAGAAAGTTAAAGTAATATCTGGTAAACGATCCAACCGGCCAATTAAATTTCTGCCGGATAATTCAAATATTTTAAGATCGGGTAAGACGAAGCCGGATAATTAAAATTTAAAAACCGGTATCGATGTGCCAAAATTGGGTTCGGTATATCTCTTTAGGGAAAAAATTATTTATAAAATGTAACTTTCTTTACTGTTAAAAAATATCAGTTATGATGTTTTGCATATTCGACAAAATAAGAGCATATGCTACGTGATTAAAAGGTTTTATAATGGTCATTAAGATTCGACAACATTTTAAAAAGAAATGTCAGTCACTTAGAGGTTTTGCTTGGCAGACGATATTCGCATTTTTATACCTATTCCACAAATTCGCATATTCCTTTAAAAATAGCTCTCAAATAAAAATAACGCAAAAAAAAGCTAGTCACATTCTTAACATCTGTTTGTGACACTATTTTGATCGTGGATGAAAGTGGGAACGTGGACCAGGATATAATGAAATATTTGCAATTGAGTGAACTTATCAGGCCTTCACTGAATGCGAGCTTACCCCCTAGCTATCCAGAAGAACCTAACCTTGAAAAGTATTTAACATTCAAAGAAGGGAATAATATGGAAAATGGTGACATAAAACACCCGCATAATACGCTTGCCCCATTAGCTCCCAATATAGGTACATTATAGTCTTTTTTTAAACGATTCGTGGCTAAAAATGTGTTATTAAAAGTTGTATCAATTGCTGTATTATAAATCATATCCAGGAATTAAAATAATTTTTTTAAATACATCTTTTTGCTATATATCGTCGGCCTAAAATTGGAGTACTCCACTTGCGCAAAGTAAATGTTTAAAATGAGAAAATCAACATTAAAGTTTAAAATCTAATATAGGAAAAACCTTATTGATCAATTTTGACAGAAGTTATAACTTTGGCAAAAATATTTGTTAAATCAAATTTTTATATATATTGGAAATAAATAAGTTATTATTATTCACTTGTAACTCAAAAATTCTGAAAATGTCGAGTGGGAGCCCTCCAATTCTATACCGACGATATATATAAAGTGGCGAGTAAACTGGGACCTCTTAGTTTGTTTTAGCAAGAAATCTGCAAACAATTTAGATAAAAAACACCCCCCCTCCCAACACACACATTACCCTATCTTACCACTCCGATAGTTAAATTAAATAAAAATTTAACTAACTTGTCCTATTTGAACATTGAATTGCTCGATTTGTGAATCTGTGGAATTTTTTCAAATTTATCTGACATAAATGTCATTTTAAAAAAAAAATTATTATACAATATATAAAAGTCTACGTAATCAACAAATGCGAAAGAATTCTTGATTTTGAAGACCCGAACAGATCAAGAATTTATAAAACGTTAGATGCTTGCTTAGAACAAACCTCTTTCAAATATAAAAGTAAATTGTAATAATAATTTTTTTGGTGTTAAACAAAATTCTTAAATGTTTATTGTTTACGGTTTTTTTTCGTTTCATTTAAAGGGCCTTGAAAAAAACAAAAACTCGTTTTTTTAAAAAAAAAAAATCTATTTTGGGGGAATTCTTAGCACTTAGTATCCATTTTTTTTTGTTATCTTTTAACATTTCTTGCATTATTATCGAAGACCTGCAGAGGCACCATTTGCATGGCCCTGTCCGGATATTTTTTTAAAATATAGGGAATATTTAATTTTTATAGCTAATAATGGCGATTTAAAATATACGGCCCGGCCCGGGTATTATTTTTTTTTAAAAAATTAAAATACAGCCCGTGGCCTGTATAACCGGGGTTAAGACCGGGCCTGCAGGTCTTTGGATTATTATTTAATCAGGAACATGAAACAGAAACAGAACTCGCCAGAATATGAAACGGTGATTAACGAGCTTTCATTAAGTACATGATTGATCATTAGAAATTTAGAATCTGAGTTCGAAATTGCTACATTATTTGATATGAATCTTCAGTTGCTAAAACTGTTTTTTTTTCACGATGGTACCTATCTCCATATATATTTTATTTTTATTTTTTTAAAAAAAACAGAGCGCATTTCTAACGATTGTGTTGATTTGAAGAATGACCAAAAATCGAACAACAATGTCGTTATTTTTCCGTTTTGGAGCCAGGAAGAAATCTTGGAACCTGGTAAATATTTTGCTAATCAATTTGTTGCAAAACATAATCATCTTCTCCGTTCAATGGCGATTTCCGGGTTTGCCTAGGTTGGCCAGTTTTTCCCTCTGATTTAATCATTAGAAAATTTTGTAGTAAGGTATTTACAAATTAAATACCCTTCCTGACATCGAACCCCTCTAGGTGGATTTTACTGCCCATCGAGGAGACGGTGATCCTAGTGTAGACCCAGAACACGGGGAACCTTTTAGACCTCCATTATCCTCCCAAAAGACGTTGTCACTCCCCCGCTATGACGAGGCTGAAATTGGGATTTTGGGGGACAAAGGAGATGAAACAAAATCCTTTACATATGATAGTGATAAATGATATAAGAAATAAATAAATATGGTGGTTAATGCTTCCTCTTAGATGACATTATGGAAGCTAGATAAGTTACGCCCCGGCCCCGATTTTTTCGGGTAAATTTAAAAAAATTAAAATACGGCCGGGTCGAGTTTAGGGTCGGGCTTGCAGGTCTCTGATATGAACTTCCAGATATTTTTAAGGTTTTTGATTTTGAGATCATTTACCTTTAAAGATACTGTAAAACCTCCAGATGTTCGCCTATTAATATTAATCATCATATCCTTACAGTGATCCATTTGCTTCGGTCCCTTGAGATGGTACACTAAGATTAATGTTATTTATTCCTCTGTATTGACTAGAGGTGGGCGCGGGCCGTGAAATTGCGCGTGACACGATGGGTCATGACGCGAGTGGTAAATAAATTTTACATTATTAGGCGTGATGGCCTTCCCAAAATTTTTACCAGACGTGATTAGGCGCGTACTATTAATTTCTCACGTAGACCGCGGAAACGTTAATTTTTATATATATTTTCTAATTTAATTTAACTTCTTGAAAAAGTAATAATTTTTGGAAATAAAAGAAATTACGCTTTATAAATAATATTTTTTTTCCTCAAAGAATGCTCAGGTTATCTGATAGCAAGTTCTCACCCCCCCCCCCCCCCGCTAAGATAATAAATTTAGTCTCCATGGACCAACTTTGTCTAGATGTCCTAGAGCCAGATAATTTGAGAATTTAATAACTAAAGCAGTTTATATAATACAAAAAAAAAATGTATAGTTAACAAATATGTAATAATTAAAAAAAGGATAATAAACTCTATATCAGTGATAATTCATAAATGCAGATTATAAAAGGTGAAATTAGACTATAACGGTAGCTGTATTATATTTAAATATTTTATTATGTATATAGCCAAGAAATTCAAATCCAATCTTTATCCCAATGATACGAACATGGATTTTTATAATTGTACAGAATCCCTGAAAGATAGAATTGCTCGTTTACCTAGAACTGCAATTTTTAGGCAAAATGCGTTGACCGAGCTACAATGGTAAATTAGAATTAAATTCTATATTTATTTTTCCTTTTTTATTTCTCACTTAATTTATCTAAGCGAATTCTGCTCCATTTAGTAAAAAAACATCGTATTAGGCCCTTTTTAAATCATCGTCTAAATCTAGATGTCAAAAAAATAATTACTTTAAGCCTTGAGATTTGGTCAAAAAAAAGGACCAAACTTTTCTGTCATCTATAAGCACAATTTCAAGCTTAGATAATACTTGGCGAAGATCTTGATTTAGCCATTTATTTAAGAAGTGCTTAAATCGAAGTTTCCCAACAAAACTAGGCGTAGATGAATTATTTAAATTTTTTAACCCCTTCACTCGCTTAGAGTATAGACAGTCCTTTGGCGGGCTGTCTATAAACCAGGGTTGGATCCGAGTTCAGGTTAGAAATTTTAAACTCTATTTAACTGATTTTGATAAGAGAAAGTAGTTATCTGCATCCATTTTTCAAACCCGTCCTAACCCGATATTTTTTTTAAAATGTTTTGCCGGCCTGGCACGAATTTTTTTTAAATTATAGAAATTGATTTTTTTTTTAAATCATCATGCCCAAAATAAAAGATATATGTTATAACGTGTCAAATTTCCGCAAATGAAAATTAAATATATTTATTTTACATAAAACAATGGCGCCATTTTTGATATAATATGATTTAATGTTGATACATTAAGATATATTTTAAAATTTTTCCAAGGCCCGACCCTATCCGGCCTGAATTTTTTAAAAAAATAGGCTCTGCCTTACTTTTGCTGATCTCTAACATAAACTCAATCGAAAACCAAGGTCCGAACCGGCCCTGGTCTATATTTCAAATTTGATAGGCTGCCCATAAATCTGTCTCTGTTTGGTCTGTAGTTCCAAAATGCTTAACCAAACTATTTTAAATTTCTGAACCCATATTCAGGTTCAGAACCCTGCTTAAAACCCTTTCCATTGCAGAACTCGAATGTAGACTCGACGATTTAATCTGGTATTCGTATAATTCGATAAAATGAACCTATTAAGGAAAATAAAAAATGGAATATGTATAAAAGACTTTTAAGGTGAATGTAGAAAAACATGTTAACATATATAAAATACTATTTAAATGAACAGGCGTTATAAACACATAATAATAATAATAAAGAACAGATATATTTACAATAGGTCATTCTGGTATTCAGACAGGAATTTTTTACATTTTAAATTATTCATAACGCACAATATTTTGAAGACTTGATCTTGCCTGAATTTATTTTTAACGTAATAGTACCTGCCTTATATATTTTTTTGATAATTTTGTTATATGACTCGATTTATATATTATATATATTAATTATAACTTAACCACAAATTTCACGGCAAAATTGTCTTAAATTCATAAATTGAGTTTCACATATATATATTAGAAATCCGCAAAGTTTCGGGCCGTGTTGGGCTTATTTAAAAAAAAAAAAATAAATTTAGCTCGGGCTGAGTTGGCTGACATTTTTTTTTAAAAAAATCGAGCCGGGTCGGGCCTACATTTTCAAAAATGATATCGTTACATTTTGTTAAATAAATTGATATATTTTATAATTCTTGAAAGTAGTGTTTGTTAAACGGATCGATTGATTTTTAAAAGCGACTAACTCAATATTTTAGCCAGAAAAATATTGCCTGAGCCTCAAGATTTCACAAATATATCTCCAAACGTTAGTGCCTTCTATGAAGTCTTTAGGCTTGCGTAATAACTCTGGATAAAATATCGAGTTAGCCGTTTTAAAAATCAACTACTTCGCAAGAAACAAGACGCTAAATTATTTTTTATTTGTAAAAATTAAATTTTTCTATAAATCTAAATAAATTCGGGCCGGACCGGGCGGACAAATAAATTTTATTTCGCGTCGGGTTTTTCGCGACAAATAAAAAAATTCGATTAAAATCGAGCCGGGCCAGACAATTTTTTTGGAAAATATTTCAGGCCTGGAAAATTAGACCCGATGCAGATCACTAATATATATTATGCGCATGCTTAAATATAATCAGGTAAAAATTGAGTCTTTAAAAATCGTCGCCCTGAGAATTAGATTATTCCATCTCCACCTTTTGTAATTTTACAGGAGAGTCATTTTTTAAAATTGAGCCAACATGATGTTATATAACCTTAAATTGGCTATAATTTTACTTATTTTGTAAATATTTCAGATTTTTTTTATGTAGATAGAATAATATAATCTTAATGATTATATTTAAAAAAAGTCATTTTTGACAAAAAGTAGTTGTGGAATAACCAAATACTCAGGCGACGAAATTTTTTAAAAAATATGCTATATAAATATTTTAAGTTTTAAAGATTCCCTAGACTAATTGAAATCTTTTTTATAAATTGATAGATGCCAGTCTTAATTTTTCGTTGTCTTTTAAAGATTTTTAAATTCTTTTGTAAATGTTTTTTTTAACCCTATGGGTGGTAAAAATATATCTTTACTCCGAAATGAAGGAGATAGAAGTTAGGCATGCAATTATTTTTAACGTATTTTTTTATATATATTATAAATTAAATTGGGAGATATTAGATAAAAATTCAGAATTAAGAAATTTGATATTAGTGGAAGAAATTATTATATTCTTAAGTTGTGTGGGAGGGGGGGAGGGGGGAGAAAGTTAATGATTCATCTAAATAATATTGAATATTCTTTTATTTTAACTTACAAGGTTTGATTATGCTCGAAAGATATGGGAAGCCTTGAAAATATCGCCTCTTATCAACGAATACAAAAACGCCATATTTTGATATGATTTTTTGTAGATAAATATTATATTTTAATGGAATTGTTATTTAAATAAGAATATTAATAAATTTACAAGCATAAGTTATAATATTAAGAAAAAATATGATTGAATTTGTATCAATCGAGTTTGTTCTTTTTTTTCGAGATTAAAATTTTTCTTGGAATCCAGTTTTTAATATTAGCATTATAATTACCCCCCCCCCCCACCCGCGATCATTATCAATATTCACTAATTTAAAATTTAGTGATACTGCCTTCAAATACCAAAGTTCCTTCTGTAAATGCAGAATTGATAAAAGGCGCGAAAACATATTAGTTTGCCAACCGAAAACTTTAAATACATTAGGGAGATCCTTAACTTTACCCTTAAATCTCAAAACAAATGTGCATCTGCTTAGCAAGTACTTCTGTACAGATAAGGAATATAATTTCTAACATTTAAAAAAAACATTTTGGGGTTTAAGAAGAAAAAATGAAATTTTCAACTAAACACCTCCACGTTTCGCACGCTTTTATTCCTTGATGATAGTTAAGTATAAATATTCCTCAGAAAAAAAATATACACAATAATTTAATCATATTCGAAATTTTATTATCCTTTTCGCATCGCGATTAATTATTTTATCGCGCCAGCCAAACATTTAAAAAAAATAATAAATTTTTAAGGCATTTTAAAGAAAACAAAATATCAACAACAATTAATGCGCCATTCCATTCTTATTCATCTTTGAATGCCCCTATTGGACGCTAATCTTGAGCATTAAACATGTGAGTCAGGGTTAATACATAGTTAAATGGCTAAAACTATATGAATATTAAGTAAACTAGGTTATATTCTTTAAAGGCTTCATGTAGGCTAGCTTGCTAGAATATGATATGGCTAAGGTTACATCAATATTTATTTGAGCAAGTTCTCATTTCAAGATAATCAAACAGATACCCTATACTCGCATAATAGGTAAAGATTCTAAACCTTTATTTGGGAGGCTACTAGGGTTAAGTATTTATTAATGATTAAGAAGGATAGATGTAAATTTTTTTTTAAACGCCTTTTAATATATGTTATTTTCTGCTCAAGAAAAAAGCTGAGAGATGTATAGTTATAATTTCTAGATCCAGCTATTATTCAAAAAAATAATAAAGCCAAAAGCGCAGTCTTAAGTCATATCCATACCTATAAAATTTTTTGGAAATAGGGTTGAGCGGATTGTGAAAAATAATGGATTTTACCATTCGCACAAAGCTATCAATGATTTTTATTTTATCTACCTTAATGAAATACTTCTTTTTTTCAAATATTTTTAATTCAGATTTTAGGGCCTTATATAATTTTTAAACCGGCCAGTTTTTATCATGTTCATTATTTTATAGGGTTTCTTAAGTTTTCTCGTTTTAAATAAACTTTGGTTGTATCTAATAAATAAATTCAAAGAAATTTAAAAATTCGTGAAAATGTTTCATCATGTTTTGAACTGGCTGCTATAATTCAAATTTCTTATAATATATTTTTTTTTAACTTAGAAAAGATTTTATACTTGAATTAATTGCAAATATTCATGACTAATATATAAAATATTTATTAACTTTTATACAAATTGAAGGTTGGCATTGCTCGTTTGCACACTTGTCCAAGGTATTTTTAGAGGTCTATCTTTAAAATTTAGATTTTGGCAAATTTATATCTTTATTTATCATTGGCCGGTTACTTGAAAAATTTATGGGCCAAAAAAAAAACCTTATTAAAATTTTCCACGTAATTGAAATCTAGGGCAAATAATCACATTAAACAAAGCGACATTAAGATCCATTTTTTAAATGTTTATATCAAGAAACTTTTGAAAGGATTATTTGAATATCCAATCTATAATTTTGATATGAGAATAAACATTTGGTCAAAATATTTTCTATAAATCAAATTTTATATATATATATATCCTTTTATGATAAATATAAGTATAATTTGTTAATATAAATAATTATTGGGGATATGCCGCGAATATAATTGCGTACTATTAAATATAACCGAATAATTAGATGACGACTAGAAAGATAGTTTTTCCCCGATTTTTCTCCCTCCTATTTTAATAAGCTGGGTTGACTCCTAACGATAACTGGAACACTTTTTGGTACACCTAATAAAAAGCATACACATTATAAAATATGTCATCATAAAATGGAGGGAAAAAAAATTCATATCGCATTACTTTTGGCCAAATTTAATTCCGATAGGTGGACAGGCCTTTATAAGGCAATAACCTTGCATCTCGGGGTTTTCCATATCCTTTTTTACGTTGGGGGATATGCAAACATTAGCCTTCTCTATCCTCTTGTCCTTTGCTCGCCTATTTTGAAACCATATCTTTACCTGAGATTCACTCAGGTATAGGTTTCTGGCCAAAGACTGCCTCTGCTCCCTGCTCACGTATTCGCATTTCTTGAATTCGCACTCTAATTTGGATGTCTGATCTCCGGAAAAAATTGTCCTTTGCCTCCGTATGTTGTGCTTGTTGATATTGCCGTTCCTGTGACATCGTTTGTTATTGTTGGCTTGATGAAGCCTGTTGCTGTAGAACTTCTTGGCGTTTTCTATGCTACGGTATAATGAGAGATTATTCGGGGTATCATTGTTCTGGTTTGGGAGCTTTATTTTAGTATTGTTGTTTATTAAGTAGCTATTATGAATACCACCATTATTTACTTTGAGGAGGGGACTGTTTGATTGAATAGATAAATTATTTGCGCGAATTATTGGTGTTGTCGGAATATCATTTTCTTTGGCATCATCGCCAAATGTTTTATTCTTGCATTTAAATTTCCCTTTTTTTAAAAGACATTAATAGGAAATAAGTAAATATTTAAATCATTTATATAGTTATAACTAGCGTTTACGCAAGATTACAATAAGTTAGATAACCCCCCACCCCTCTCTTGCTACCCTCTAAAAAGGCTAAGCTCATTCATTAAACCCTTAAAATATCTAGGTAAATTTCACATAGACCGCTTATCCCATACATTTATAAACTGGTTATTTGCAATTCCTTTATATTTCCATTTTTTTCTCCGGAAACTTTAAATTATTATTTGACATTGGTTATAAAGAATTATTAGATATATGCTAATATAATTGTATATTATGAATTTTAAAAAAAAATATATAAATATAAGGATATTAAAACTTGGACATCCAGTAAGATTAATACCACAATTGTTAATATTGCATTCTTTGGCAATTTGACACAAATAAGGATTAAGCATATTATAGGTTAAATAATTGAACGAGTTCATATTCAGAAAATTGGAA